GGTTAGACCAGGCAAAGTGGAGAGTGGACTGTGGAGACAACTAGCAGTCCATCTTTGACTATATAGTCAAAGACTCCAGCATATTTGCCGAGCATTCGTGACTCACCGGCGAGAAAAAAAAGTGAACATTTACGATGGTAAAGCCCAATGTCCACGATACTAGAACTTGGACCAAGTTCTAGCATCGTGGACATTGGGCTTAAGGAGCGATCCTTCCACAAATTATATTATTTTACTTTTATTTGTACACTAAAAACAAAATTTTCGCTATCGTAGCTAATCGTGGTTTACTACAAATATTTTGCTCTAAATTTCTCAAGCACAGCAAACTGTTTGCTGTCGCACCTAATACAATAGGCACAGTAGCAAAATATTTAACTATCACAACTTATAAATATTAGCTGTCCATACTTTGCAACTAAAATTTAGTTGCCACATGCAGTTTTTAGCTACGGCAACTACATTTGTCTTTCCGTGTATGAACTCATATGTTTTCACGATGTTTCAAATGTGCAATTATTGCCTCATCAGTTCGATATATTATATATGTATGATAAGTGTAAGAGATAAATTTGTTTTTTCAAGCTTGGCAGAGTGAAGGTGCGTACGACTGCGGAACAGGAGGAGATCAAGAAGCAGGAAAGGGCGGTCAAAGTTTCCCAGTACAAGGCTGACTTTACCATAGTATCTCAAAAGGTTTCGACTTGTTTCATGTAGCACTTGTCGCATACGATTCTCATACACTGTTTTCGCAACGTATATCGTCTATATTTCAGAGGAATATATTAGAGGTTAAGAAATGGGGCCTTGAGTTATTGAATGTTACTAAGCGTATACTGTTGAACAACTCGGACATTTATACACTGTGGAATGTCCGTCGCCAAGTTTTCGAGAATAAAAAATGGTAATGTATTGGCAAGGTACCTCGTTAATGCAGCAAACAAAATTAACTTGATAAGGACATTGCAGGAGCGAAGTAGAGTACAAACTAATGCTCGAGAATGAGATGATCTTGACCGAGCGGTGCCTCAGAGAAAATCCCAAGTCGTATAGCTTGTGGCACCAAAGGTGTTGGGTGATGGAACGGATGCCTGAACCAGATTGGAAGAAAGAATTGTCAATGTGTGCAAAATGCCTAAACCTAGACGAAAGAAATTGTTAGTATTTGTCATTTGTGTGTACAATGCACGCTGGCAATGAAGATATACACTTATGGCCGATTTTTTCACTTCCCGATAAAATTATGCGGAGGTTAATCTCGAGTTTTAGCCAATCACGTGCATGGATCTGGTAGTTTATCTCCTGGTTAACTTTAACCGCAACATAACTGGATGTGAAGAAATCGGGCATTAGAAATGTAGCAGCATCACTTTTCCAACGAGTTGATATATTTGACTAAGACTTCTTTTTACCCTAGTTCACTGCTGGGATTACAGAGAGTTTGTTGTACAAAAAGCTGGGATCTCTAACGAGGAGGAGCTCGAGTTCTCCACTACGAAAATACTGAGTAACTTTCCAAACTACTCGTCTTGGCACTACAGAAGCCGAATACTAACCAAAATGTTTGGCACTACATCCAAAGAGATACCGATTGTAGACGATATATACAGAGAGGGTAAGTGTAATAGTTACTTGAATTTATTTCGCTCTATCTCGTGAAATAACGAATAATATTTTCCAGAGCTCAATCTAGTTATGAACGCAACACTTACCGACCCCAATGATAGCGCATGGTTCTACCAAAGATGGCTTTTAGACGAGTCCAGGACAACTTGTAGGCTGTGGCGTGCTGAAATTGAGAAAGATGGAGCTGCCGTTATCATCGATAACAATGGTCTAATTCAACCAATTTCACTTGAATTATTTGTAAATGGCGAAATGGTTGATTATCTCTCATGGTATTTATATCCAGATGAAGAGTTTGCCAAGCTACGTATTGTAGAGTTTGACGAATCGTTAGAAAATTTAGATCATGCCAAAGAAGTTTCTGTAAAGCTACAAGAAACAGTATATCAGCTTTCATATTCAGAGTTAACAAGTTCATGGATTTACAAAGATAAATCAAGCTTGCACAAACAAAATAGCAACGATAAGCAATTAAATGAACAATTGAAATGCTACAACCAACTTTCCAAAATGGAACCAAATAACAAGTGGGCCTTATTAACCAGTGTATTACTGATGAAGAAGATTGATTTCAAAAAATTTTATACCGACATATTAGATCGTCTGTCGGCGCTGACAAAAGTCGACAGTCTTCGCAAGAATTATTACAAAGATTTGCGTAAGTAATATTTCTAACATTAGGATATTCGTAATTTCTCTCTAGTTTATTTTAGATTATTTTAGTAATACTAAAAATAATCGATTGACTTTTTAACTTTTTATTATATTGACTCTTTATGTACAGGTACATGTATGCTTCTACCGATGTTATCTTTGATTTTAGGAAGCAAATTTGTAGTGGAGTACAACCTACTCGAGATATGGAAAAAGGAAAGCGATTTAGAAATACAGCCAAAGATCGATTTGTCGGGATTAGACTTGACAAAATTGCACAATAATCATTACTTTAGCTTCTTTGAAGAAGTGAAATTTGGTGCGAACCAACTAAAAAATTCTTTGTATCAGCTTTCCATATTGCAACGCTGCGTGAAATTGTCACTGTGCAGTAATGGCTTGACATCACTGAAACATTTTCCTATTTTATACAATCTCAAAGTTCTTATTTTGAGAGATAACATGTTAACGAGCACCGAGGAGATAGTCTACTTAATAGAAGCGCACGCAAAGTTGAGAATGCTAGATCTACGAAATAATCCAGTATGCGAAAAGATCGATATAGCTGAAATTAAAAGACAGCACAAAATATTTATAATCGTCTAGACGAGCCTTGACACATTTCCTAACCTATCAGGGCGAATTCTGGATCGGAAATATAAAAATGGCATATACATTAGATTAATAGAATTCTGCGTATTTCAAATAATAATATATCAATGTACGTAACACATTATTTAAGTATTAATGTGTAACTCATTTATTTAGATATCTTTAATATGTCTATTATAAATATTTCAAAGATATCTTTTAAGATGTCTTTTAGATGTCTTTTAGACATCTTTTAGATATCTTCTAGAAATATCTTGAAGATATATTTTTAGAAATGTTTTAGACATCTATGTATTGTTCAGGACTACTAAATAAATGTTATAAATGTAATACTTACTAAAAATACATGTGTTAAACATTAAATCAAGAAATCTTTTCTTCTTTTTTTGACCTTTGTAGCTGTATTTACAAGCAACGCTATTACTTATTGTCGAGTTTAGAATATTAAAAACGTGTGCGCGTTCATCAACACCTCCTTTTTGCTTCAAAAACTGTACCTAAAAAAGAAATATAATTTTAGTTACAGAAACAATTGCGTAGTACATAAATTTATATATATTTTACATATTAATTGTTCGTGCAACTTGACATGTTGAAGAATATGATTGAAACTATTGAAAAATTGAATTTATTTTTCTACGAATTTCACATCGACCTTGTTTTATATCAGCAAATGGAATATTAATTCTTGAAATTAATTTTTAACGTGTATTAATTCTTGTTCCATAAATTACTTTTTTATAATTATACTTTAAAAAGATAAACTATGTGATAGTATCATAGACATAGAAGATAGACCCAGTATACGTGTTCCCAACGTGTCACATACAACGATATAGGACGTAAAAGCTAACTAATCATTCATTTCAATTACGACGTATCTCACTCTATTGTATATTACTTTGATGTACACTTACTACTACTTCTACTCCTACAACCCTACAACTATGTTTACCCCTGGTCCACAATCTTGCTTTAAGTAAGTTGTAAGCCTTAAGCCGTAAGAAATTAACCAATCGCAGGCATTTATTCCCCTCACTCTCACCTGTGATTGGTTAATTTCTTACGGCTTAAGGGGATGCTGGAGTGATTCTGCACTTTTGCACCTTTCTAACCTAAAAACTGTCAGTTCGCGGAAATATTTGTGTAATATACAAATTAAATGGCTTACGTGTACAGATCGAAAGCAACTCGCTATTCCGGCCAAATGAAAGAACAATATGGCATCACTGAAACTAAGTTTATAAGTCTAATAAGAAATAATAGTGAGCAACACATACATACAGTACATGTAGTATGTGTGTTGCTCACTATTATTTTTTATTAGACTTACAAACTTAGTTTCAGTGATGCCATATTGTTCTTTCATTTGGCCGGAATAGCAAGCTGCTTTCGATCTGTACACGTAAGCCATTTAATTTGTATATTACACAAATGTTTCCGCGAACTGACAGTTTTTAGGTTAGAAAGGTGCAAAAGTGCAGAATCACTCCAGCATCCCCTTAAGGCTTACAACTTACTTAAAGCAGAGAGAAGCCTGAGAGATGTCACGGCCCCGTTTTTCGTGATTGGCTAGAGACCCTCTAATCAGAGTCTGGCCAACTGAGTGGTCCGCTAGGTTTAGTCAAATCCAACGAGAGAGAGGGCAGTACGATTATCTCACTCTCTCTTTGAGATATTCGTACTGCCCTCTCTCTCGTTGGATTTGCCTAAACATGGCGGACCACTCTGTTGGCCAGACTCTGATTAGAGGGTCTCTAGTGATTGGCGAATGCGATACGCCCTCTGTGGACATTGAAAACGTGGACATTGAACTACGTAGCCAATATCCACATTTTGCTAAGTGGGTAACGCAGATTTGCACAATTTTAGCCCCGTCCCGCGC